CTCTCTCATCGATGTTTCTGGCTCTCTATCCCTCTCCCTTCCTCTCTGTAAAAAATCAATAAAATTAAAAAAACACACCCCCAAACTGTAAGTGACCAAAAAAGCGAACAAAAAAATGAACAAAAGAGCATTTTTCTTACTAAGCAATATACAATTTTACATTTTCATTTAATTACTCCATAGATTCTTATTATTTTAAGGCTCTCTGTGGCAGATATAGATTACTACAGTCATGTTAAGGGAAACGTGCCATTCCATTTAATTTGGAAATTATCAAAGTAATTGTGAAATTTTCAATCTGTATATTTTAAACTTTAAAATCATCTTTCATCTTTGGATGCTTTTCTTTTCTGTGAAATCTCACGGTTCAAGAATCTCATAGGTGTTACCTTTGGTTCTTACTTGTTACAGACCCAGTTATACATGCACCTGACAAACTACTCTGTGAACAAGCACAATGAGCGTTTTGAAAGGGACGAGACGGAAAACAAGGGCAGCAAACGCTCCATCAAATGGTTTACGGAATTCCTGCAAGCAAATCAACATGATGTCGCCAAGTTTTGGAGTGACATTTCAGTAAGAGTATACTATTCCACAATTATGACTGTCTTTCCTCAGATTAAATTAAAGGATCGCCAAGCATTTTAAATAAAGAGCAGATTACATTAAATTGGGCAGATAAGGCATGTTTTCATGAAGGAAGTAGAATTTGGGATGGACCTTGATACATGAGTAGTATTTTCACTGCTAGGGATGGGAGAAGGAATTCTAGGTGGAGGTGAAAACATAAGTAAAAGCGTGGAGAGGTATGAGAGTACTGTTAAGTGGTCCAGGTAGTCTTTCCTCAGATTAAATGAAAAGATCACCAAGCATTTTAAATAAAGAGCAGATTACATTAGATTGGGCAGATAAGGCATGTTTTCATGAAGGAAGTAGAATTTGGGATGGACCTTGATACATGAGTAGTATTTTCACTGCTAGGGATGGGAGAAGGAATTCTAGGTGGAGGTGAAAACATAAGTAAAAGCGTGGAGAGGTATGAGAGTACTGTTAAGTGGTCCAGGTTGGTACATTTGGTATTTGTGGGAGATGCATGGGGACTTATGGCTGAAAAGATATGTAGAGGCTAAATTTTAGGTCTGAAAATCAAGGCTTAACGTCCAGGCTTAATCAAGGCTTAAGGGAGGAGAATAATAAGGTCAAGGACTATGAACTAAAAAGGTACATCTGAAAAAGGGTGTGGGATGGGTTAGAGTGAAGACCAAGAGTAGGTAGAAGAGGGCCCTTGGGAGAACTTTTAGTGAAAAGAAAGGCCTAAATTGAACAAAATAAAGGGGGTGGCAATGAGGTAAATATTGGGATTAATTGAATGTTCAGAATGGGAGAGAAGTACTCAGTGATTCTTCTAGTTTTAAGGAGTAATTATGGGGAGAATGGAGGTGGCATTATCTGAAATAGAGTAGGAAGGAATTTATTTTTGAGAAGATTTAGAACTTAGTTTTTTGCAGATGAGGGAAAATAGTTTTACTTATTTATTTGTTTATTCATTCAATTATCCAGTAAACATTTATTGCACCCATAATATAAGCCTATCTTTGGCTGATAATTTGAAGGTTTATAAGTTCTACCTCCAGTTCTTGAAAAACTTAGAGTTTGGCAGGAAAAACCAGCACAAAAATTGCTATTGAAATGCAGTGTAGCAAGCACAACAGAGGAGGCAGCAGTGGATTCTGTGGGAGGTAGAGGAAACCACATACAGTAGCTTTGTGTAGGTGGTGAGAGAGGACTTCTTGGAGGCATTGACTTCTGAACTAAGCTTTTAAAAGTCTGTGAGGCTATGATGATGAACAGATGAGGGGAAAAAGTTTTACTTATTTATTTGTTTATTCACTCATTTATCCAGTAAACATTTATTGAACCCATAATATAAGCCTATCTCTGGCTGGTAATTTGAAGATTTATAAGTTCCACCTCCAGTTCTTGAAAAACATAGTTTGGCCGGAAAAACCAGCACAAAAATTGTTATTGAAATTCAGTGTAGCAAGCACAACAGAGGAGAAAGCAGTGGATTCTGTGGGAAGTGGAGGAAACCACATACAGTAGCTTTGGGTGGGTGGTGAGAGAGGACTTCTTGGAGGCATTGACTTCCAAACTAAGCTTTTAAAAGTCTGTGAGGCTATGATGATGAATTTTACTTTAGATGTGTTGAACCTGAAATGCTGTCTCAGGTAGAAAGATCAAGCAGTCAGGAATGTGTTTGTGGTGCGACTGATATGTAATGCCATGGCAATGGATGAAATTCCAAAAGGTAAAGGTAAAGAGAAACAAGGAAACAGATAAGAGAAGATAACTCTGGCGAAACAGACCCTTTATTAATTCTAGCAGAAGTATTAAATAAAATGGTATTCCAAGTTAGAAGACTGTGTCTACTGAAAATAATGTGATTAAGGGCTATATAATTTGATTTGGCTTTTCTTTGGGGACAAATAATTTATAATTTAAATAAATCTGTAATGGCAATGGACATGAAAGTACATAGGTAGTTGAACTTGGTTCAGTTGAGAAAATCAGAGAGAAAAATAAACATCATTATATTTATCTTTGGTTGATTGTTGGTTGATGTTTGTTACTCCTTATATTTTATGTCACAGGACATAAATCCAAAGATTCTTAGATGTCAGACAAGTGAAAAAGAGTGACGTTTGCATAGAATCAATTGGGGTGTGCTGGGAACTGTGCTAATTTGAAGAGCATAAGAAAGAGGTCTGAAGGACATAGATATCACTCAGCACTATTCTATTGGTGCACATGATATTTTGGGCCCAGGGTGGTTCATCTCCTAATTTGTCAATAGAAGCTGTAAATCCCCAGATTTGTAAATATTGACAATCCATTCAAAAGTTTTAAAAATGTAGGACTCATGAAAAATGTTTGTCATCTGGATTTGGTTAGATGCCCACCAACTTGTTTACTTTCTATTATATCTTCCTGAGAAACTACATACCTCCAAACAAAAATTTGATTACAATAATTCTATGTTTATTTATTTATTTTAGCAAGGCCAATTCTGTGGAAATTCCAAAAAATGTTCTAATGATAGATTTACTATGCATACCTCCAAACAAGAATTTGGTTACAATAAATCTATGTTTATTTACTTATTTATTTTAGCAAGGCCAATTCTGCGGAAATTCCAAAAAATGTTCTAATGATAGATTTACTATCATAGTGCATTAGAAGACTCAGAGTTGAGAAATTTATGTTGGGGCAGTTGCTGTTTGATGGAAGATCATATGGTACATGATATTGCCTGGACGATTTAATGAGTAGGTTATTTGATGATTAGACCAAGGACATTTTATATACTCTCCAATATTCTTTTTTCTTTACCAAATATTTCATGTCCATATGGGAATGTCTTTGTGAAAAGGTGGCACCTGTTGGGCCACCTTGGTGAAGTATGTATAGAGAGAATCAATCAGAGAAAAGTGAGTATCATGAGCTTATAAGTGGTACTTTTTCCACATGATTAAATTGGGAGAAGGTATAGAAGTAAGGCTAATATTATTAATAGGTTAAGCAATTAACTTTTCTGTTATAGCCTAAAGTATAACTTTCAGATATGACCTAAACATGACCAATGTGAGTCTATTAAGGTCTGACACATTCATGATCTCTTCCATGAATGGCTAAATTTTGCATCACTTTTGCCTACCTTAGTTAGAATGTATATTAATAATCTATAAGTAATCAATTAATAAATTAATAAATTTATATAATAATTTAAATAAATTAATAACTTATTAAATTATTAACTTTTCCAAGTACATTTCTTACATTTATCTTGTCAGATTGTCTGCATTTATTTAGTTATTTAAAATTTTGTCTTTATTCAGAATTACATATAATTTGTAAAGATCTCTGTGTTTAAGGTGAATCAACAAAATACTATATTGTAAAAAGAGAATGATAGGAGGAGGTAGAAAAGGCAAATGTAGTAGATTTTTATCGTAATGTTAATAGTTTACAAATTTTATGAATTTAACTTAGGAGGCTTTTTTTAATGACCTCTTTTTTGGGGGTAATTTTTTAAAAAAGTAACTGCCTATATCTAAAAACTAGCAATACCTTCCATGAAGCACAGAGATGTGTGTTTTTGTGCTTAACAAGAATGAATAGAAAATCAACAGAAAATCAGGCCATAGAGATTAAAAATGATTGTAATCATTTATAAAACCATTTTTACTGAATGCCTTTTTGTATATTTTGTGTACAAGTCTACAAATCATATTTCAAAGCAATGATACTTGGAAAAGAATTGGTGAAATTTGATTTTTGCTTGATTATATCACTCCTGGTTTCACATATACCTGCAAGCTTGCCTTTATATTTCTAAAAATGTGTTGTTTTTTATGTAGAAAAAAACAGAGATCGGTAATCAGGGTCTATTAATTCCCCTCACTGTCTTGTTCTACACAGACACTTATTAGCCAAGGTTTTAACTTTTTTTGGTACTCCCCAGTTGTTTTAGTAATATCTCCAAAGATTTATATGGAGTGCTTTTTGTCTTTCATCTTTAAATTCTTTGGTGTTACCTTTAATTTGTTATTTTGAATAAAATTTTCTGAGAACAACCTCATGGCATCTCTGACCCTTACTTCCAGATAGCATCGGGGTTGAGATTCTGGGTATCAGTGAGGTTAATTTCTGCCTTCCATTTTTCTCCCATATGGTTAAATATTGCGCCCAGCAGGTAGTGGTATTTTGTGTCTGACCTGACATATGAGATGGACTTCTAGTGGAATAATAGAATAACTGTAACAGTAGTTTAGTTAAGTTGCTAACACTTAGTTCAGGTTCAATGTGCTCTGGTCGCTACACTGAGAGTTTCACGTGGAGTCTCATTTTGTCCCTTCGTCAGTCTTTTTGCAGCAGGTGTTATTACTATTGCCAGTTTACATTTGGCAGCAGTACCTGTAGAGAGGCAGTTCCAAAGGCAATATATTCTAAGCAAAAACTAGTGGGGCAGCTTTTCAACAATCCATAGCTTGTTCTCCAACTTCAGTTAAAACAACTTTTTGCTTTATTGGCATCAGTAACTCAGCCCGGAAATATTCTGAGTCCTCACAGAAAATGATGCCAGCCAGCTCACCTAGTGGCAGTATTGCCTCACTGCACGAAGAAGCCCAGCTCTCTGGGATTCTCCCCTCGCTCTTTCCAGCCGATGTCCAAGTGGACATTCTCTATAATGTCGTTTGTGAATTAGGTTACTCATTTGTTCACAGATGTTTTTGAGCATCTCCTATATGTGAGGTACTATGGTAGGCACTGGAATGGGGTTGTAAATCAGACACACAAGGACCCTGCTCTAACAAAACAAGGAGAAGATCGGCTGGTTCTGTGCTGCGAAGTTATGCAGTAAGGACTGATGGGTGGTGGTTTTGACCCCAGGGTCAGGGACGGCCTCTCTGGATATCAAGGATGCAGACATAGGCATAGGGGGAGAAGAGTGTCCCAAGAAGAGGGAACAGTTACTGAGATGATCCCAGAGGAGACAAGCGTGGCGGGAGCTTAGCAGGTCCGGGAAGAGTTGGATGGAGGGAAGTCAGGGCAGTGGTGGGGCTGGATTCCCCGGGGCTAGTTTGTAAGTCCAGGCCTTATTGCCACGTGTGTAAATGAGAAAGAAATAAGGCATTTTCACCTTTTGAAAATCTGTCCTTGTAGGAGCTGGTTGTTAAGACTCTGATTGTGGCAGAGCCTCATGTCCTGCATGCTTATCGGATGTGCAGACCTGGGCAGCCTCCGGGGAGTGAAAGTGTCTGCTTCGAAGTCCTGGGATTTGATATTTTGTTGGACAGAAAGCTAAAGCCGTGGCTTCTGGAGGTAAGGCGTTTTTAAGAAGACATTTTATCACTGTGCATTAAAACAAATGTTTTTAAATGTGTACTTGGCACCGTTGTCTCATTGACTGAGCAGAAAGAGGCCTGAATGGAGTGTGTGGGAGGAAGAGAATGAAAATTCATGGAACAGAACAGTTCTAAGAAGGATCAATATGTGTTTGATATTACTTTTCCCAAATTAGTATCACATTTCTAGGCCAGGAATTTTGAATATATGTGTGGATCTACTTTTACTGATTTTTTATCTACTTCCTCCAATATTTTCTCAGCCTCAGGGCTCCTACCACTTCATGACATGTGGGTGCTGTCTTTCCTCTCTCTATGTGGGCGCCTGGGCCTCGGGACCACAGCCTCTCTGTCCTCAGTGTGTCTCCCTTCACGCTCTGGAAGAGAGACGATCCAGTGGGTTCATTAATCCTGACACCCAGGTGGCTTGAATGTGCCTTTATGGCCATGTCACATGCCTGGGCCTCCCCTCAAGTCCCGCCCATCAGCTGTGTGCCTTTGGATTTGCTGCCCGTCCCTGCTATGGGCAGAGTTGTCATTCCTTTTATTTATAAAAGGTCACTTAACATCTGGAAAATACAGAGTAATATACAGGAAAAAATAAAAATGATCTCTTTTAAAGATTTTTTTGTACCTTTCCTTCCAGTCTTAATTAATTTATAATATATCCAGAAGAAACCTTAGGTCACAGAGTGTATGGTCACAAAGTACTGTATGTAGGAAACTTTATCAGGAAAACAGCACATTTCCAAACACTTCGTGCTTACAAGATTAGTTATATTTTTGAGGAATATATTCCTATAGAAGATATCAGCAGCAATTACCTTTCATTTTAAGTTGGATTATCTCTCTTTTTTATTAATGATTTAGAAGTTTGCAATTACATCTTTAATATCAAGGCTTGCAAAAGTAAATTGAATGAGTGATAGGTGAGATCAAAACATTCAAAATATATTCTTCGGGAAGAATACTTTTCCAAACCACAGGGCCGATGGTTTCCTGTGTGTATTGAATGTACTATGAGTAAATAATATGTATATTTCCAATTACAGTTTGTCAGGTGTTCACATTTTGCTCCTGCTCGGGCCCTAGAAATAAGATGAATATGAGGAATGTTGCTTATCCTTTAGCTCCCTCCATTGGATATCAAAGCACTTGGCTGCACCATGTCTAGTGTACTGAGACCTGACATTGTCTAGGGTTATTGTTTTGTCTGCAGTCACCCTTTCCTGCTCTCAGCTGTATTTTTTTCTACCCCTGATACTTGTCTTTTATCCTTGATGGGTGGGGAAGAAGTGAAGGCACATGCAGGAGGTAGAACTGCAAGAAGAGCAGGGACGAATGACTTTACAGACATTTACAGTTTTTAAAAGCAGTGGCCTAATTGGAACTTAGCTGGGTAAACCAGAATTGACTGAATGGTTGAATTCTGTCTTGTTTTGTTTTTAAGGCTCAAAATACCATTGTTTGCATTAATGTTTCTTCTACTTTATTTTGTCCTTCATTTTCAGGAAAATAAGAACCATTACAAAATTCCACAATAACCAATGGCTAAATACTATTGTTTGCATTAACATAGTTTCATTGTCTATTCATTTTTTTCATCATTTCTGGATCAATCAGAACAATTAAAAAACTCGAAGAAAAAAACACACAACTAAAAGCTGTGGAGAATGAACATTTAATTATATTAAAACAGTGAAAAGAACCTTATGTAATGATTTTGTTTCTTTGTATTTTCAGCTGCAATGGTAATGGTTCTAATACGTAGTTAAAAACCTTTTGGCGCCATCCAGTGGAGCAATGGAGAAGGTGCTTCTGAGAATGCGATAACTTTTAGTTCACTGGAATAATTTCCAGTAATGATTTGTAGAGGCAAATTGCAGAAATTTTCAAGCATAGAAAACATTTTTAGGGAAAATCATTGAATTTTGAAGGATATGAATACTCATACTTTAAGTATCCTTGAATTAATTTCTCTTTAAAAAGTATTTTAAGTTGATTTTAAAGAAGAAGGGAGAGGGAGATAGAGAGAGAAATATCAATGTTTCAGCTGCCTCCTGCACGCCCCACACTGGGGATCGAGCCTGTAACCCAGGCACGTGCCCTGATGGGAATTAACCCGTGACTTCCTGGTTCATAGGTCGATGCTCAACCACTGAGTCATGCCAGCAGGGCCTTGAATTAATTGCAATAAGTCATTGTGCCAGGTGGTAGAGTTACAAGGAGAATAAGACCAAACACTTGTGGGGACTCAGATGTGTGTTTTATGATAATGGTTGTAGGTATAAGTAGGAAGCAGGGTGCCAGCACAAACAATAACTGACTAACCTCTCTGTGTTCATGTGTGTATTTGAGAGTTAAAACAATCTTTGCAGAAGAGGGAACACCTGAGAAAGGTATTTAGAAGGTGGGATAGGAGTTGGGGTTTGGAGAAATGGGGGTGGGGTGGGAAGAAGTTACTGGACAGAGGGAAGAGCAGTAATTTAGGAGCACAGAATCTATTCTGGATACTTTTATATGTGCATGAAATGATTGTGTTTGTTTGATAATACAACTGTAATTTGGACAGTTAATAAATAATACTAATTTAATTTGCTTCCTAATAATTTTCATTTTTGCATCCTTTTACAAGCTGCTGAATTTTAAGTCTATAAGATTGGCTAGGTTTTGTCTGCTTTAGAATTTAGGCAGTGAAAACTAGAGAAGCCATCAACATTACAGAGTGGAATTTTGGCTGTATGAAACCCAATTTTCAGAGTTTCTTCTGTGAGCCATTTGTGGTTCTCATATTTTTTTGTACCACTCTCATAAAATTTTTAAAAATCCAAGACATTAATTGAACAAAAGGTGTTTTTTTTTTAACTTTTTCATGTATTAGTTTAAAAATTGGTTACATTTCTTCATCAACCAGTTTCTTTTATGTGATAGCAGGAGGAAGACTTTGAAATAGATATGAGAGAGGGGTTTGAGATTGTATTGTCCCAGATTACCATTCTGCAGAAGGGATATGCCTGGCAGAATTCCAGACTGCAGTTTTAGAATGGAGCACCTAAGGGATTCTATACAGAAAACATTTCAGTGAACCAATTAATAATCGTCAGTTCCTAAATATTTGGTTAATTTTATAATTTGTTACTTACATGTAATAGCAGAACTATCATTGTATTACAAATTCTAGAGATTTGAGTCACTATGGAATGGTTGAAACATTTTTCATATAAAAGACATTATCCTTTCTCTGCACTTTCAAGAGATAACACTTGAACAACACTTGAGTAAATGGATGTTCTTGCAATTACCAAGCTACTCCCTCCCCTAAGAGCACAGCACACAGGCAGGAATATGTTAATCACCTTCTGAATCAGAAATTATCAAAGGAAAAATACAGTTTGGCATCTATAATAATAAAAGCATAATATGCTAATTAGACTGGACGTCCTTCCAGATGTCCTTCTGGACGACCTTCTGGACGAAGCTGGGGCTGCGAGGGAAGCCCAGGTCCTGAGTGCCTACTGGCACCCAGAGGGAAGCCTGGGTCCCAGGTGCCAGAGGGAAGCTGGTTTCGGCAGCCGGGGGAAGGAAGGCCTACTCTTGCACCAGTTTTGTGCATTGGGCCTCTAGTATTTCTATAAAAAGACTATCATGCATCTGTCAAAATGTTGACATGGAAGATTTTCATGATATATTGTTAAAAGGAAAACTTGGATTGTAAAATAGTGTAATTAAATATAGACATTTATTGGGAAGGTAAAATGAATATTATAAATATGCATAGCAAATATCTGGAATACCATTTATTAAATGATTAACAATACACTAGGTAGTCAGGCTACAGGTGATCTTTCTGTCTTTTATTTAGCTTCTATTTACTAATTTTTCTGCAGTGATCCCATGCCACATTCGTAATTAGAGGCATTTGTATTTCTGAATGATTTCTTAAGTTTAATGTGTTTTTTCGTTCAGCTGCCAATTGTAAAATGCATGTCATCAACTACCTTATCTTTTGTGGTGATGGATTTGTATCAGACAGCCCTTGTCTATGACCCGTAGCATATGTTTTTAGATAGCCTGTGGGGTTATCTGGTGGTCATGAAGCTAAGCTACAGTTGTGAACACAGCAGTGTTTAATTTTCTTAAACACCTGCTGTTCCAGTTACATTTTCATAACAACAACAAAAACAAAACTCCAGCTGCCGAAGTGGTAGTATATTGTCTAATGGATTTCTGGGTACATAGAGTTATTTTTTGCTTTTTGTCTAATGAAATCCTGGCAATGATGTCGGAAATGACATCACAACCACACATGGCTCATTTATTCCCATGAGTCCTTGTATACTTAGAAAGTTCATGGAGGTTAGTCTGCAGTTGCCCTTAATGGTATCTTCTGAGTAATATGTAGTCAGTGTCTTTGGAAATGAAAATTGATGAATCTTGTCTGATCCAGGTAGGAAGAAGCAAAATTTATTTTTTAGTTAGTAATGGAAGGATGAGTCACTTTTACTTCTCTGAAGTTAAAACTCAGAGTGCTTGGGGTAATTTGGTTGAAGAGAGTAGAAGAGAGGGGGAGGGCAGATACGCTGACCGAAGATCCTGAGCCAAGACAGCAGGTTGAAAGGGGTGGTGATAATCAATTCCTTACGCCCTGGCTTAGGGTGATGGGGAAGGGAGGCTTGGCAATAGTAACCGGTCCATTGCCAAGCAGAGCTTTGAGGTTTATTGTAGAGTCCTTCTACTGGTTGGGGATCCCACATTAGATTAACAAATTTGTATTGAATACAGGGCATCCCAATATATACACACACTTTGAATAATTATAAAGGCAGTGTTTATTAAAATTCACTTCATTTTCAAAATTGAGCTATCAGCTTTTAAAGTGTGTATACAATTTTTGGGGAAACACCTTGTATTTTTTGGCCTACCCACATTTGCTTACTCTCATTGTTTTCTTTGTAAATTTTAGATCAACAGAGCTCCGAGCTTTGGGACTGATCAGAAAATAGACTATGATGTAAAAAGGGGAGTGCTGCTAAATGCACTGAAGCTCCTCAACATCAGGTAAAGTATTTCCTCCATTTTTTGGAAAATTTTCGCCACATCTGACATAGAACATTCATTTGTACATGGAATTGGCTTGAATTTTTTTGTGTTTTATATTTTGAATTACTCAATTCCATTTATTTTTTTCGAATGTCTTTTCCTCTCCTCTAACACACAGTTTTTCCTTCTCCTCATTTAAGGCTCTGAACCTACAGTAAAAAATATGGTTAAGTTGGAGTATTGCTATACTTATCCTATATAATAAAAGCCCAATATGCAAATTGACCAAACAGTGGAATGACCAGTTGCTATGATGTGCACTGATCATCAGGGGGCAGACACTCAACTCAGGAGCTGCCCCCTGGTGGTCAGTGCACTCACTAAAGAGCAGCTAAGGAGCAGCAAGCCAAGCAGTAAGGAGCAGCGAGCAGGCAGGCAGTAAGAAGCGAGGGGTCCTGGACTGTGAGAGGGATGTCCACCGAGGCATCCTGAACTGCGAGAGGGCACAGGCCGTGCTGAGGGAACGCCCCCCCCCCCACACACACAAAATTTCGTGCACCGGACCTCTAGTTTAGTAATATAGAATATGAGGTTGAATTGGAGACTGCCTTAGGAAACACTCTAGATTATCTCCTCACCTTAGAATAAAGTAAAACAGAGAGGTCATTTAAAAAGTAAAAAATCTCAAACATGAAATTTCTGCCTTTCTCTCCAGAGGTCTTCCCAATATATCTTGTTACCTGGGTAAACAGAAAAGAGAGGCAGTTGTTAAGTGAGGCTTAACCTTCCCATTGAAAAGCATCAGTGTGATCCCCCCCCCTTTTTTTTAAGGATGAATAATACTCTGTTGTATTATGCACCATATTTTCATTATGCATTCATCCACTGGTGGGCATTTAGGTTGCTTTTGTCTTGGCTATTGTGACTAATGCTGCAATATATACGGGAGTGCAGATATTTATATGAATTCTAATTTCAACTCCTTTGGATATATACCCAGAAGAAGGTTTGCTGGTTGCAGTGTATATGATCATGGATGTCAAATATTCATAACACTATTATATGGGAAAGCTTTTGGCTCACAATGAAATAAATATTTTAGAAGTTTAACTGAACTTCTCAAAGAAGTAATGAAATGTTTGCAATTATAAGTGTTGAAACAGCATTTAGGGTGTTGGGTTAAAGTACCTCTAAGGTTTTTTGATCTTAGAGATTTTATGATTTCAATTGGTTCCACTTGTCATTTTAAGAGCTCTAAAGAAGCTGTGGGATGTTTCCATGAAATTGTTTATGTTAAATGTTTCCAAGCATTTAGCAGATGCCTGATTGAAAAGTACCTTTCATGGAAAGCATCATTAGAAAAAGAGATAAACATATAAATTTGTTCAAAAATGTTCATATGACTCCTCCTTTTGCCAGATTAAAGAATGATTTGCCTAAATTCTACTGATATCTCAATTATGTTAAAAGAAATGAAAAGAAAAAATAAATTTTTATTTATTTAGCTTACACAGTGTATCATTATTTTGGATTACTTAAGCAATATGCCTATACTTTTTTTTTGTTTTGTTTTGCATTTACTATTACTGTATAAGTAGGCCTTGAATTTTCTTTTTCTTTCTGGCATGTCTTTTGACTTGCCACCCATGGGTGTTTTCGGTCTTCTTAAAAGTGAGATATATACATTGAAACAGTGAGACATTTCTAGGCTTAAAACGAAGGGAGAATTGGACTTCATCTTTCTTAATTTTCTTAGTGTTGTTCCACTAAGAGAATTTAGCACAATTCATACCATTTAGAGCTTATGCTAATGAAGCTTAGGTTGCAGCTGTGCCTTTTCTCTCCAGCCAAATGGAGGGCTCCATGGGCATATGTGTTAGACTTGTATTTCACTATGGCAAGGTATGCGATGGGCACATCATGGAAACATAAGCAGGAGCTGAGAACACTAGGAAAATTCTTGCCTATTTATTAAATATTATTGGATTAATTTTTATATGGACTATTTTACTTTTGGATAGAATAAATTGTTCTGTGATTCCCTATTTATATTTATTTTAATCAGACTATCACGATGATCTTTTTTATTGTGTTATGTTTCTGCTCAAGAACCTAATTGGATTTCTATTGCCAACACTTAATCTAAGTTCCTTTCATAATATAACTTAATCTTAGCTTTTTCATCTTATTTCCTATTTCTCTCCAACCAAAACTGTTTTAGTTAGGCTGATTATCACATTACTAGAGGCCTGGTGCATGACATTTGTGCACTTGGCGGGAAGGGGTCCCTCAGCCCGGCCTGCTCCCTCTCGCAGTCTGGGACCCCTCGGGGGATGTCTGCTGAGGGGTCTTTAGCCCTGCCTTGTAGGCAGGAGAGACTCCCACCACCGCTGCTCTGCTCACCAGCCGTATGGCTTCCAGCTGTGCAGTGCTCCCCTTATGGGAGTGCACTGACCACCAGGGGGCAATTCCGGCACTGAGCATCTGCCCCCTAGTGGTCAGTGCACATCATAGCAACCGGTTGTTCCATCGTTCGGTTGATTTGCATATTAGGGTTTTATTATATAGGGTTTTTCTCACATGTGTAGCCTATTCTCATTGATGATTTATTCTGTTCCTTATCCTGAATGCCTTTCCTTACTGCCTATGACTCAAATTCTACCTTTTATTATGGTGTATTAGCACAAGTTAATCTTTTCTTTCTTTGAACTTCAGGAGGAATTAGAGTCTGCATAGGACATGCCTTATTGCTTTGTTTACTCTTTTATGCTCTGTGCTCTTTTACTTGGGCATGGCAGATTTTTTCCTTTCAATTTTATCTAAGCTACTTGAAGTCAAGGAGCATATACTTTGCTATTCTACACAATTCTTTTAATATATATATTTTATTTATTTCAGCTAGGAATGGAGAGGGGTAGAGAGATAGAAACATCAATGATGAGAGAGAATCATTGATTGGCTGCCTCCTGCATGCCCCACACTAGGGATCAAGCCATAACCCCGGCATGTGCCCTGACTGGGCATTGAACCGTGACCTTCTGGTTCATAGGTTGATGCTCAACCACTGAGCCCATGCCTGCCAGAACACAATTCTTAGTATGATGCTTTACTTATAGTATGGCTCCATATGTACCCCAAAATTCATAGTGTAAATGTATACTTTCAGTCTCAAGAAAATCCAAAATCGTGTACTGGTACATAGCTCAGAGTATAAATCACAGCCCCTGAGAATACCAAACCTCATATTGAGGGGTCAGAATTTACCCCCTTTGTACTTGGATGGCATAATGTAATTTGAGTTCAGATTCAGATAATTTTCTGAAACACTTGGCATGGGGTCTTCAGAGACAAGAGAGTACAAAAGGGGCTATAGGCAGAACAAGTGAAAGAATAATAAGTAAAGGTAAATAGTAAAATAGTAATAAGTAAAAAAGGTGCTTTTTCAGTAATAAAAGGAAAAGTCAATCTTGTATATTGGGGATGTTGGTGTGTTGATAAGAAGAATCATTTTTCCTCCATAAGTATTAATTAGAATCATTAAAATTGAATCTAGAAAAGATAGTTATAGTCTCATGAGTTCTGTGAGTCTGAAATACTGTACTGTTTATTAGTTTAGTTTAGATTGGATTAGCTTACATTAGATTATCTGACCCTTATTTAGGACTAGTTCACAGGCTACATGTATATGATGTATGCAGGAATTCATGCTACCCTGCCCTTGAAAATTGATTCTCACTGGCCTCTTTGACACTCTATTTTCTGAATTCACTTAACTTTGAGCATTTCTCTGTCTTCTATGATTTCACTTCCCCCTACTTGTCATTTTTTCACTGCATTCTTGCCTCAGCCCTCTTTTCCTCTGTGTCAGTCTCATTCATTTTTGTGGCATCTTTTGTGATTCAGACACTGGAGTCCCAGGTCTACACCTGTATTGAGGTACAGATTAGGGTTCCTCTCGACAGCTCTGTCCACTCTTGGGCTCTGGTCTTGCATTTGCAGATCTCTGCTGAGCATTTACACTCGATGTTTCTGGTCTAATAGGGGCTCAGTTAATTTGTAATGAGTGAGTGAACTAGTAAGGAAGGAAGTAAATGAATGAATGGGTGAGTGATCTGATGACACTTTAAATTCAATATGACCAGAAGTTGAATTATCTTCTCCTTTCTTGCTGGGTTTCTCTCTTTTCTTCTGCTAATGATGTCAATTACCTCCAACCCATAAAAGAAAAACCTTTTCATATATTTAATGTACATTCTTAGCTTATATTTTACTAGAAGATGGAGATAGAAAAGTTAGTAAAATTTTCTCTCCTTAAGTGGCTCAGTTATTAAAATGGAAACCATATGCTCATAGAAAAGTACTTACAATGATAATCACTCAAACCTAGTTTTGTGTCTTGCTTTGCTTTGCTAGTTAATTGTAAAACCATCCACATAAATGTTCAGGCTACAAAGATGGGAGTTATCATTAGTTCCTTCCTTTATTATGAATCAACTGAATCCTGTACAATGTATGACTACCATTTAATTTTGTAGTCTCTAAGTTTAATGACTTCTCATTTCTCTCCTGGATTATTTTACTGGCTTTCTTCTTCTTCCAGTGTTAACCCCCACCCCATTTTCCAGCCTCCACTCTGTTGCTCTGCAGATCATTTGACAAGTGTTAACTACTTACTGCAGTAGGGACTAGGAATTCAGTGTGTCCCATGATTCCTGAGTTTCTGGCTTGGACAGCTTATTTGACAATACAGTATTGATTTAGATAAAAATTTTAGGTGAGAAACAGATTTAGAGGAGTGATGGGGGAAGGTAGAGAGAGATAGTTCAGTTTTAAACATGCTAATTTTGAGGTTCTCTGTGACCTCAGGGAGAATTGTTAACTGGGAAAATCTGATATACAGTGCCCGGGAGATAGAGATGTCTGTTTGACTGACAGCCATGTACAGATTGCTGTCTAATGGATGAAAGCACATAGAGTATACATATTGAGAAGTAAAGGGGGGCCTGGCAGAGTCCTGAGGAATGCCAACATTAAAAAAATGTCTTTAGGGAGAGAGGGAGGGAGAGGGAGAGAGAGATAGAAACATCAACGAAAGAGAAACATCAACATTGATCAACACTGATTGGCTGCCTCCTGACGCCTCCTGCTGGGGATCCAGCCCACAATCGTGGGCATGTGTCCTGACCGGAAATAGAACCGGTGACCTCTTGGTGCATGAGTTGACACTCAACCACTGAGCCACAGCAGGCCAGTGAGGAATACCAACATTTGAAAAGATATTTATAAACTCTGATATTCTGATCACGTGTTTCTACTCTGTCAGATGAGGTTTAAACATTGCATCAAAGCAATTTTGATCTTTAGATTGTATACAAAACAGTGTTTGATCTGGTCTTTGCATCTCTCATCAATATGATCACTTTTTGTTCTTTTCCTCTGCCTTGGAATTAATTTTTCTAAGAACGCATGTGTGGTGCTATTCCACATGTTCATGGTTTTTGCACATATTCTCATTTAAATGTACGTTTGTCTTTGTTCCTCTGGTGAATATCAACTCATTAAATTTTTGGGGGGGTGGGTAAAATATACTTAACATAAAAATTACTATCTTAACCATTTTTAAGTGTGCAATTCAGTGGCATTAAGTACGTGCACAGTGCTGTGCAACCATCACCACCATCTATCTCCAGGACTTTTTCATTGTGCAAAACTGAAAGTCTGTACTCAAACAGGTACTCTCCACGGATTGCACCTGCTACGTGGGAGGGAAGAGAGAGGAACGAGTTTCAGAGGAAAGCAGTCTCCCAACAGGACTTTTCCTATAGAAATCAGACAGCTGTAACTAAATTTGCATGATTGGGCAAAAATGAGAAGGACTATGCAGAAGTCTTCAAAGAAATAGTGATTGTTAGGCTAGGATTTCAGTCAGAATTGAAAATAAACTAAGGAGTGGTTAGTGTAAATGAAGGAATACTTAAATATAAATGGAATTGTTGAAGGAAGAGAAAAGATCCAATATTCATTAAGGACCTATTATTGATACCACAAGTTGATCTTTATAAGAACTGTAGGAGGGAAACATTATTGTTAGTATTTAATAGATGGGGAAATAGACTAAGCAGGTAATTAACCTGAGATTGTACAGCTAGTACATCGTTATACTGTTTTCATTTTATTTTGTTACCTTCAGAGCTCCTATTTACAATAGGGAGACCCTTATTTGATGCTGATTAGATGAATATAACGTATGTGAATATATAATTTAATAAACATTGTTTCCTATTGTCACTGTGTCTCCTTTTCTGCTCCTTCTCCTCACCGGGATAAAATCAGAATTGGAATTCTAGAATAGGATCTTGTGTTTTATATTTTAGGACCAGCGATAAAAGGAGAAACTTGGCCAAACAAAAAGCTGAGGCTCAAAGGAGGCTTTATGGTCAGAATTCAATCAAAAGGCTCTTGCCAGGTTCCTCAGACTGGGAGCAGCAGAGGCATCAGCTGGAGAGGCGGAAAGAGGAGTTGGTATGACTATTTTAACACACCCATGTTTTGAATTGCATAATTCATTTGCCAGGTTTTATTTGTCAAATTTCTGTATTTCTAGAAAGAGAGACTTGTTCAAGTGCGAAAGCAGGTCTCTAAAGAACAACATGAAAATCGACATATGGGGAATTATAGGTAAGCGTGCTTCCTTTTTATACAGATTGTACAAGTGAAGTGTCAAAACAATGAGTGTACATTTTTTAACGCTTTAGGCTTGTTTTAAGCACTGTTCATTTAATTTGAGATAGTGCTTTTGTTTGATATTTTTCTAGAATGAAAATGTAGACAGCAAGTAGATGGTTCAGACTTGGGAGACTCCTGCTAGCCAGCCTCGAGGGTGGTTAAATCTGATATTATCTTTTAAATCAGATATTATCCTGTGACCTTATCTATAATATAAAAGCCTAGCAACTGAATGGCGGATGACCAGAATGACTGGTCGACCAGTTGCTCAATGCAGGAGCTGCCCCCTGGTGGTCAGTGTGCTCCCACAGCGGGAGCAGCTGCTCAGAGGGCGGGTCCACAGCCACTTGGCTGACTGGGATGAACAGCATTCCCACAGCGGGCCCCAGTACACAAATCTGTGCACCGAGCCTCTAGTTTGATTATAATGTGGTGTTTTGAGAAAGGTATCAGTCTTGTATTCTTTCTGCCAACTCCAAGGGGGTGACTATATTTTGTTTTAAACTCTAATGTATCAGGGACTAGGCAAATAATGAAGATGTTTGAAGGAGGCAGGTATGAGACAATAGAAAGGGTGTGGACTCTGCTAAATGAACCCCCTTCCATGGTATCAGCTTTGACAGGATAAAAGGAAACTCCCTAAGCTCCTTGTGTTCTTAAAGAGACTGTCCTTCCTCCCAAGCTTTGACATGGCCTCAGCAGAATTAGGAGAATTGGGGGCCATACATCATCTTGCACTCATAGTAGGCCATTCTTCCCTAGCCTTAACACCATCAGCAGGAGTGGTGACATCACATTTCCTGTCACCCTACCTCTACCAAATTCTCTCCACTATCCCAAGAGATCATCAGGTTAATCTCTGCATTCTTCAGTAACCACACTAAATCCAGCACTCCCAAGTTATCCCTCATCACCTAAACATTCCCCCATGACGTTTTAGATTTCTTCAGTATACCCAACTGCAATGATTTCAACCACTACCTCCAACTAAACCCTTATACTGTATCATCTGGAGTTGCATTGTTTAAGATAATTCTCTAGATAAACTTTAATTTGTGTGCATGACAATGCACATTTATGGATTTTTCATAACTGTATTCATCTTTATTTGTGGCACCCAGTAAAGGCAGAATAGGAGGTTAAGGATTAGCTATGTAGTTGACATTAACTCTTACACTATAATAGCTTCTTTTTTTAAAAAATTGAATTTACTGGGAGTGACACTGGTTCACAAAATTATACAGGTTTCAAGTGTGCAACTCAACAAAACATCGTCTGCACACTTTATCATGCACCCATCGCCCCAAGCAGTCTCTTTTCATCCCTATTTCTCCCTCTTTGCCCACCTCCACCTAGCCCTGCCCCCTTTCCCTCTGGCTATCACCACACTGTTTTCTGTGTGTATGTGTTATGTATATGTTTTTGTTTTTTGCCAATCCCTTTACCTTCTTTCACCCAGCTACCCAACCCCCCACCCCTGACAGTTGTCAGTCTGTTAGTTTTTTTAAACATGTTGGTTTATCTGATTTTATTGTAGACGAATTTATCCTCCTGATGATAAAACTCTACTTGAAAAGTATGAAAATTTGTTGGCTGCTGCCTTTCAGACCTTTCTTTCAGGAAGAGCAGCTTCATTCCAGCGTGAGCTGAACAATCCTTTGAAAAGGATGAAGGTAAAGGGATACGTGTTTATAAAGAGAAAAAAGAATTATGCCAAATAATATGCTTTTAAAAACAACCTACCTCAGTCCCACATATAGAAACATTTTACGTTGAAGATGCACTTGCTTCCATTTTCACAGTTGGTAACATTTCATAACCAACCAGGTGGTTTCAAAAATAAGAAGTTGTCTAACAGGACAAATTATGCAGTAGAGAATGTTGATATTATATGTTGCAATACTGATCTATTGTAATAAACGTGTTATAACAACTGTGTATATGTAACTGAATTAAAAAATCCATTGTATTTACCAAGCGGTTTGTAATGTTCTCATTATTTGTATCGTATCTAACATTATTCAGTATTTTTCCCTGATGCTGCCTAGACCTGATAAAGGAGAAGTAATAAATACACATGCATATCCCCAAACATTCCCCCACTCCCCACCTAGTAATCTGTTTACCTTACTGACGGTCTATCAGTTATCTATTGCAGCATAATAAACCATTTCATTTATTTGCTCATTATTCTGCACACTTGGCTGGGCTCACTTGAGTAGTTCTTTCTGCTTGTCTTGCTTGGAGTGAATAAAGTATGATTCACTGCATTTATCTGAAAGGATATGCAAGATGGCTTCACTGACATGTCTAGAGCCTCAGGTGAGAGAGCTGGAACATCTGGGGAGCTGACGGGGTGTCTCTTTTTCTCTGCATGGTCTCTCAGCAGGGTAGCCAGATCCCTCACTGTGGTAGTCTGAGGTTCCAAAAGGGAGAATTTAAAGACAGGCCCAGTGTGTAAGTGCTAATCAAGCCTCTGCTTGCATGACACTTACTAATGTTCCATTGGGCAACTAACTTCATGTGGACCTATTAATACTGTTTGGACTTTATATTACTTGACATATCCCTACAGTAATATATTCCCCATATCATGGATACACTGTTATATTGAGTAATTACAAAATCATGATAAATATGATCTTTTCACTCAGATTCCACAACAGAAAGTTTCAAAGCCATTTTCAAGCTGGCTAGACCTAAGAGATAGAAGCAGAAGGAACATTGTATATCCCAAGTGTTATTTTCCTCCAAATTTCCCTCTTTGGAGGTATGCAAATGTTTTAACATTAGAATTATGTTCTGTGGCCTTTTTGTTTTTATTTTTAAATATATTTGTATTGATTTCAGAGAGGAAGGAGGGGGAGAGAGAGATGGAAACATCAATGATGAGAGAGAATCATCGATTGGCTGCCTCCTGCATACCCCACACTGGGATTGAGCCTGCAACCTGGAGATGTGTCCTGACCAGGAATCAAACTGTGACCTCTTGGTTCATAGGTCAATGTTCAACCACTGAGCCAAGCCAGCCTGACCTTTTTTTTTTTTTTTTTTTTAACCCAGTGGAGACCTTTCTTCATTTTTCTTCACCTGTTCTATAATGTTTTTTCCCTCTCCTGTGCCTAAATAATCTATTCCTTTTTCTCATTACACTGATCCTCCATCCTTATTTTTTCTAGTAGAAAACCTAGGGGTACAGATACATCTAGATTCAAATTCTAGTTCCCCACATGTTAATTTTATAACCTTAGGCTAAACTATTTGATCAATGGTTTTCTTGTCACCAAAATAGTAGTATTAAAACTACTTGTCAGGTTGGTTATGAAAATAAAATTGAGGTTAACTAAAATAGTCTATTAAAGTACTTGACACTTAAGAAATAGGCTTCAAACCTTAATTCCCTATTTCTATTCCTCAAAATGTAGTTTAAATGTCACCACTTTGCCCTGTTCCCTAGGCCTGTGAGCCTATTCTTATGCAAATTTTACACTTTTTTTTTTTTTTTTTACTATTGTTTCTTTTTAGTAAGTGTTGAGATTAGGTAGTGCATGCCCTCAATTTGTTCTTTTTCAAACTCTTTTGGGCTTTCTAGGTCCTTTTACATTTTCATATACATTTTAGAATCATCTTGAGAATATTTTTTAACAGGCTGCTGGGATTTTAATTGGGACTGTGAGGAAACTGTAAAACAATTTCTCAGGAATTAACAATACTGAGTCTCTGATCCATTAATATGGCATATCTCCATTTATTTGAGTCTTTTATTACTCAGCTCTGTTTGTTGTTTTTGCTATATAGTTCTTGCACATCTTTCATTAAATTTATTAAGTATTTGGTTTTTTTTTTGCTACTATTGCCAATAAATAGTTTTTCATTTTTTGGTTTGTTGCCTGGATATAACTATCTGATTATTTTTACATATTGCCCTTTTACATAGCAATTTTTATATATTATATTTTTATTAAATTCTGATTTTTATTTTGGTTATTTAGAAGTTTGTTGATTAATTTCCATACATTAAAATTTTGTAGTTTTATTTTTTTAGGAATTTCTGGTATAGTTGATTGGTGTTAGAAAAGCATTTCAGTCTTGTAAAATAAATTGAGACTTGCTTTATGTCTCAATATAGTACATATTTTAGCAAATGTACCAAATCTACTTGGTAATGTGTATACTGAAGGTGTTGGTTGTAGAGATTTATAGATGTCATTTAAGTAAATTTGGCTATTAGTGTTTAAATATTCTATATCCTTTTATATATATTTCTTTGGCCTATGTGGTGTAGCAATTGCTGAGAGAGATTTGTGGATTTAGTTCTGTCAATTTTTGTTTCAGATTCTTTGAAGTTATGAAGATGTCTTCCTAATTCACCTTTCCTATTTTATCATTATTATGCAGTGTTTATCTTTCTTTTGGGTAACATTCTTTGTCTTAAATTTTACTTTGCGTGATTAATAGTTTATTTCTTGTGGTTACTGTTTAAATGGCATATCTCTTCTATCCAGCCACTTTTACTAGTAACTCATGTTAAAAGTAACAATATTTACAATACCTCTGGTAAATAGCATAAAGTTAAGTCATACTTGTTTTTAAATCTTGTCTGACTATGTGTCTTTAAATAATTTTACAAAATTATTGGTATAGTTGGGTTTATGTCTGCCTTTTGCTCTTTTTTTTTCTTCTATTTATACCATCTGTTTAGTATTTCTTTTTTGCTTTTCTTTATTCTTGGAAAAGTCAATTTTTAAATTATTTTATCTTCATTATTGGCTTTTAGTTATAGTTGCAACATAATAGGGGGTTTTGAAAAGAAATTACAATATGCATCCTTAAATCATAAAGTCTACCTTGAATTAGTATTTTATCACTTCACAAGAATCCTAGCGGTTTAATTTTATTTGGTGCCTCTCTCTAGACTTTGTGCTGTTATCACATATATTACTTTTACATATGTTACAGTCTTTAAAATACCTTGTTATTATTTTCGAAGCTCTAATTGGTCTTTAATAGTTTTCTAAATACCACTTCATATTTACCTACATATTTATCTTTTCTTGTCTTCTTCATTTCATCCTTCTGACATGATCATTTCTCCTAGTTTGAAGAAACTTTCTCTAGTATTTCATATTCATATGTCTTTTGTCTTGACTGCTTTTTCTCTTATTTTCAGCATTTTGTCTTTGATGTGTCTATGTGTGAGTTCCTTTGTATTTACCCTGCTTGTGGTCTTGTCAACTTCTTGAAGATGGGTGTTAATGTCTTTCATTGGTTTTATTAACTGCCATTTAAAATTGTTTTCTGAATTTTATTTTGGTTATTTAGAAGTTTGTTGCTTAATTTCCATACATTTAAATTTGCTTTCATTATTTCATCAGATATTTTTGCTGCCTTTTGTATATTGTCTCTTTTATGGGACTATAGTTTCACATATATTAGATCATTGGACAGCATTCCATTTATCTTTGATGCCCCATTCTGTTTTACTTCTCTCTCTCTCTCTCTCTCTCTCTCTCTCTCTCTCTCTCTCTTTCACTTTGAATAATTTTCATTGACATATACTTGCTTTGTGTAGACTGACCTTGAGCCTACCCAATCACTTCTTAATTTTAGATTATATTAGTCAATTCAAGAATATCTATTTGGTATTTTAAAATTTCATTTCTCTGGTAAAATTTTACATCCTTCATTCATTTTGTTCTCCTTTTCATTGTTTCCTGTAACATGTATATAATAATTTTTGAAAAATCTTTGTTAATTTTAATATTTGGATTATTTATTGACCTGCTTTTATTGACATCCTTTACTTTTGATTATAGGTCACATTTTTAAATTGTTATTTTGGATGTCCTATAATTTTTATTTGTTTGATAGATGCTTATAAAAGAATCATAAAGCTGAACTGATATTTTCTCCAAAAGAAGGCAAATATTTCTTAGTACAGAGTGTTAGAGTGAGGGCTAATTACTTCGAGCCAAAGAAAAGTTAAAGAAAAGCAAAAGTCAGCAAGTGGTACTACATCAAAATTAAAAGCTTCAATATAGCAAAAGAAACAAACAAACAAAAAAATGCAACCTACAGAATGAGAGAATATTTTTGCAAACTATATTGAGGATAAGGAGTTATTAGCCAAATATATAAAGAATTCATGTAACTCAATAACAAAAAAACCCATCAGATTAAAAAATGGGCAGAAGAACCCAATAGACATTTTTCCAAAGAAGACATCCAAATGGCCAACAGAGATACGAAAGATGCTCCACATCACTAATCATCAAGGAAATATAAATCAGAACTACAATGATATATCACTTTACACCTGTTCGAATGGTTATTATTAAAAAAAGACAGAGTTAACAAGCATTGGAAGGATGTGGGAAAAGGAATGCTTGCACACTCATGGTAGGAGTATAAATTGGTTTAGCAGCTGTGGAAAACAACCTAAGTGCCTGTTAGTGGATTAGTGTATATAGATGATGTGGTGTAGACTACAATGAACTATTCTTCTGTGATGAGAAGGAAGAAAACCCTGCCATTTGAGGCAACCTGTATGGACCTTGAGGACATTATGCTAAGTGATATATGTCAGACAGAGAGATGAACACTGTATGATATCCCTTATATGTGAAATTTTTAAAAATCCAATTAAAAACAGTAAAATTGTGGTTACCACAGGCTGGGTGGTGGGGTGGGAGAAAGGTGTATATAGACAATTATATTTTACTATAATAGTTAAACTTGCTAAGAGATTAGATTTAATTATTCTAACCACACACAATGGCAGTATTACAATATATAAATGTATCATAACCAATATGTTGTAAACCCTAATTTTATACAATGTTATATGTCAAATATGTTTTAATTAAAATTAAAAGGTTGCCCTAGCCAGTTTGGCTCAGTGGGTAGAGCACTGGCCTGTGGACTGAAGGGTCCCTGGTTCGATTCTGGTCAAGGGCACATGCCTGGTTGCGGGCTTGATCCCTAGTAGGGGGCATGCAGGAGGTAGCAATCCTCTCTCATCATTGATGTTTCTATCTCTTTCTCTCCCTTCCTCTCTGAAATATAAATAAATAAATAAATAAATAAATAAAATAAGAAAGTTCGAACTGGGTCCAGGTTGGGTTTTAATAGTTATAGTTTCAAGTGCCTTGAAGGTGACATCTATTTAGTGTTTATTACAGGCCTCATTCTCTATTGGTATCTAAGAACTGTAAGACTACAGATAAGTATTTCTGGCTTTCCATCCTTGCCTCCATTCTCCTATATCACTTCATACTAAAAAAGTGCTATCAGAGTGACCCAGCAAGTTGAGAGAGCCAGCTCTGTGGGGCTCTTCCAGATGTTACACTAGCCCACATGACCATAGGAATTTCCTTTGGGTTTTTTATCATAGCAGAATCTCTCTGTCTGTTCTGGGCCTGATCTTTGTTGATCTGTGTCCAGATATGCAAATGACCACAATGTACAAAGAGATCACTCATCTCTTCAAACCTAGGAAGAACTTTTCCCTCTCTGGTATTTAGTTCCTTTATACTACTTTTTAATCCACAGCTTTCCAAAGTCTTAAAAATATGATTATTTAGTTTATCTGTCTTTCTCTAGCTGTTACGATGAAAGTATTGCCTATTTACATTCTTTCTCCTAAACAGAGGTAGAACTCCATACATTTCATTTTAACTATCTTGTGCTTTGGAATTCATTGTAGGATTATTATTTAATCAAACTGTATAGCAAGAATGTTTTGGTATTTTAATAGCTAAACTTTCTTTGGTATGAAGAGTAACTTATAAATTTCCATTGCACAGTGAGATTTCTAGTTTCTTCAGAAACCTTTTTTTTAAGGAAGTACTGAAATATAAATCATATAAGTAAAGATGTGATATTTTTGTAGGTTGAATAAATAGTTCAAAGAAGCATCAATTATTCTTTCAATATAGCTATTATGCTCCCATTGCTCTGGTTTGCTCAGTATTCACTTGGGTGTTATGTTTTTATAACTTTTCCCTTTGACTTCAAGATGATTTTAGAAGAGGATTAGAGAAGGTATTAAGCCTATAAAATGAAAACATTTTATAAAGTTCTAAAGATACTATTGTTCAATAATTGAAGTTTTGAAAATTCCATTTAATTGTGCCCATTGACCAAATACTAACATTAGATTACTAACTACTAGGCCAGTCATCAGTTTTCTGTCTGAAATTGTAATATTGTTTTGCAATAATCAATATAGAAATGATTGATAAGATTGTGGTCTGGAAAATTAGAGTGATTTTTAGAAAACTTAGTGTCTAATAGGCTATTTTATTATTGTAGTCAGATTTTAATAGTGTTCTAAAACATAAAAATACATTTGTTTATAATCTATAATAATAAAAGCATAATATGCAAATCTATTGAACGACCAAACAGCAGAACGACCGTCTGGATGACACGCACTGGATGACACGCACTGGTGCCAGGCCAGCCAAGGCGGGTGCTATGTGATTGGTCAGGGGGCCCCGCCATCACCCCATGATTGCCCTGCAGAGGGAGGTCCGGGCCACCCACTGTGTGGCGATTGATGGGGGGCTCCGTGGAACCAGGGAACCAGGGGTGTGTGAGGGCGGATGTGGGCAGTGCCAGGCGAGGGCCCCAGCAGCCGGGGCTGGGGCTGGGGCTGGGAGGCAGCCAGGGCTGTGAAGGCCTATCATTGCACGAATTTCGTGCATCGGGCCTCTAGTAATATATAATAGATTTTCAGCAATGTATTATTTATATTGTCAGATTTTAGTGAACGACATTTTTAAAAGAGTTTTTCATGGCCTTTATTACTCATTTGATCTGAGTAGTCTTCATTAAATAGTTTTAGGAACTGTGTTGTACATTATTTTATGGAGATTAATAAATTTAGAAAAATTCTAGAATCCATTGGTGATCATAGTTTTAATTAATATCTTTTTAAGGAGGAAGAAATTTTGGATCTTCTGGAACAATGTGAAATCGATGACGAAAAGTTGATGGGCAAAACTTCCATGCCTCGAGGACCAAAGGTACAGTACCCGTATCTTTCTTAGTATCAAAGTAGATGAGACTAAGTACAGTTGTTTCCCCTTTGTATTTGTCACTATAGTAATGACTGATGCCACTTTCAAGGAACTGCATGGACCATGTGTGCAGTACAGAGAGAGTTGGTTATCTCACACATAGAAGTTCTATTTTGTTTTGTTTTGTTAGTTTTCCTCTTTTTGGATTCTTTTTGTAATACTGGTGAAATCCTGATGAGTCAGGACCAAGAGGGACCTAGAACTAATAGCCTTGTTTTATACTCAGTATTAATTTTTCCTCATTTCTCTAGACATATAATTACCAGAGACGTATAGTGATATAGAGAAGGCAAATTGTGACTCTAGAAAACCTTATCACAAGCCCCATATTTTGCTGACTTAGCAAGAAATTGTGTTAATTGACATTGGCAGCTTCTAGGAATAAAGAGAAAGCAGTCATGCGTGCAAAAATGAGCAGGTGTTGGCTTTACCTTTATCTGCACTGTGGTGATGACATGAATATGGTCTTTGGTTATATGTCAAAAAGTTCTTGCTAATAGAGCAGGGAAGAGATGAATTTGTTAAGTGTTGGGAACTTTTTCATTGTGCTCTTATTACTTTACGTTTCAGCAATACTAAGCTATGTCCTTACACTCATCTTTCTCTGTTGTCCTTTCATGCTTTTTCTGTGCCTCTGTGCTTGACTGATTAGAGCTCCCCCTTCCTCATCCACAGCTTTTAGTTTCCTCTTGTGATTCTTCAAAAAGTCCCCCCTTCCTCATCCAGCTGAATCGGTGCTACCTTTGTAGAATCCTCTTCACTCCCCTAATTAGACTTAGATCTTCCTTCCCCTCCTCCTGCTGTATCACAAATAATGCTTCTGTAGAGCAGTTGTGACAAATAATTACTTGCATCTTTGCCTTAATGAAAGGTTGTAAGTTCCTTGAGGGTAGGGTGTTTTTATCTTTGCATCTCTCACACCGAGCACAGCATCTGGAACTTCGTAGGTTCTCAAACACTATTAGTTAGGCCCTGGCTGGTGTAGCTCAGTTGATTGGGCATCGTCCAGTGCACCAAAAGGTTGCCGGTATGATTCCCTGTCAGAGCACATGCTAGAGTTTGATTCCCGGTCAGGGCACATACCCGAGTTGTAGCTCCATCTCCAGTAGGGGGCATGCAGGAGGCAGCTGATCATGTTCTGAGCTCACATCATTGTTTCTCTCTCCCTCTTCCTCTATCTAAAATTCAATAAAAATATGTTTAAACCCCCACTATTAGTTACATTTGTTGAATGTGTCTGTAAGGACCTCATTGGCAGAATGAGCAGATAGGCGAACCAAAAACCAGATTGTGGCAAATACTGTAATAAAGCGAGTGGAAAGTGTTACAGCGAGAGAAGAAAGGATTGGTAGACTGTGGATGGCTTCATAAATGCCATTTGAACTGGGTCTTTACAAATGAGTAATGCTGTGAACATTTAAGATGGGTGAAGGACGTTTGGATTAAAGGGAACATTCAAGGCAATGACATGGAGTTGTGACATTGCCTGGCTTGTTAGAGAAATATGAAGAATTTGGTATGACTCCAGTGGAAGATTCTTGGAGAGCACAATGGTACGTGATGAACCTGGTGAAAGATATGGATCTGGTGAAGACTGGAGGTCTTGGATGTCAGGCGCTGCTCTTCTGAATTATATCCTCTCTATTGAGGAATTGTGGAAGATGTCATTGCCAATGCTTTTGGAACAATTATATTTTTAGCGTATCTGTAAAAGTGAATACCTTAATGAGTCATTGCTTCACTTTGGAAAACACTGGGAAGTTTCTGAGCTTTGTATATTAATTATTGCAATTCACTTATGACCCACTTAAAAATAAAATTGGACATAAAAGTAAGTACTATGGTTTGTGCGATAACTCAATACCAGTTTGCAAATAATTCCATTTTGCAGTTAAGGCATTGTTTAGCGTTTATGCCACTATGACGTCTTATTAGTTATTGCTTGAACAGTGTGTTGATCAAAATGCACATATGACACAGCTTTTAGTTTCCTCTTGTGATTCTTCAAAAAGTCAAATAGCTCACTATGTAGTCAAGCTCCCTTACAAAACCTGAAATCTGTTTGCCTCCACGAAGGAAGGCACTGTCAGTGAGCCTGATTGTGCCACTGTTTCTTCTGGGTCTGCTAGACTTCCGAAGAAACGCCCTTCCTCCAGAATTCTTATTCCCCAAGGCAGTCAAGATATTTGGTGATTGTATTACTGGTAAATTACTGGTTTTTATGCATATCACAATGAACATTGCTAGTGCTCAGTAAATATTGGACTATCAAAAGGAGAACATACTTTTAAACACAAGTTGGTACCGTCGTATATTAAATTACTTTCCTCTGGTGATTTTTCATCCTTTGCAAAGCCAATAACTGTAAGAAGATCATGCTCTGGCTTACTGTGTATTCTGGGCACTTCATGCAATGCTTTTCCTTTCTGTACCTTTCATCTCACACGTCACTGGAGATGCCTTATTCCAGTGAAATCCCACGGTAGCCAAGGATTTCATTATTTATGTATGCTAACATCAAACGTTTGTGTTTGAACAGAGAACAAGAAACTTATATACAACTATGGGAACTTTTCCCAGCAGGAATAAGAGGCATATGGTATGTGTGATAAATAGTCTCTTAACATGACTAAGTTCCAAAACTGTCTTGATCTTTTTGGTTCATACTCTTTATGAAGTAAAACTGTCCCACTTCCCTGATCTCATTCTTTCAGCGGTACTGGAAACACATGATGGGGAGGTTTGAAGACTAGAGATTCTAATGGAGATATTGGAACACAGTAGTCTGGCATTTTGAATCTTTACAGTTTTACCCTCTGCATGGCACCAATCCTCCAAAAATTTATGATCTATTGATTTACATTATATCACTTTTGTTTTTCTTAAATGTAGCACAGGCAGTGAAAAGCAATGTGGTCCCATTAAGGCCAGACCCTTTGTGTCATAGTTAGGAAGCTTCTGAGAAAGAACCTAAGTTGTTCATAACCAGTTTGGAAAGTGGACAATTAACTACAATTTTTTATTTGTAAAAATGTTCATAACAAGTTAGATATATGAGAAATACCTTAGTCCTTTTGCACATTATCTGAGTGAATTGGTTCATTGGCTTCTGTTTTAAGATGTGACCTTTGTGGACGTATTGTGGTTTATTTGGCCTCTGCTTTCCTTTTCTTTTTGTCTCTCTGCCCCTCTTGTCCTTCCTCTCTCCTCCTCCTCTCTTTCTCACAAGCATGTGCACACATATCCACAAACACATACACACACTTTGATTGAATGACTGAACATTAATGATACAACAGAGGTACATACCTGAGTCTTGATGAGTAATGGGTAACCTCTCTGTATGGAATGAAGAAAATTTGATTATGTTTCTAATTTTTATAATTTTATCTGTTTGTGATAACCTTGTCTTTTTTTAAATCATGAAGAAAAAGCATTTTCCTCATTATGACTGAACTATGTTATTTAAGGAAGAATATTTGGCAGAAATAGAAAAATTAGTGAATTGCATTGGAGGCTAATAACAGCACTGTAGCAGTAGCACTTTGGAGGATTTTCAGGTGTCAGTGAGAAGCAACATGCATAGTGGGAAATTGAAAATAGTAATTAATCATGTTCATGTGCCTTCTTAAGAAACGTTCTGACAGTAACACCTTTTTCTGTGTTTTAGCCTCTCTGTTCCATGCCAGAGAGTACAGAGGTGATGAGAAGACAGAAGTGCTACAGCAGTGATAGCAGTTATGATAGTAGTGACAGCTCTTCAGAATCAGATGAAAATGAAGAGTACCAAAGTAAAAGAAGAGAAAAGCAAGTTACTTATAATCTTAAACAGCCCAACCACTGCAAAATATTCCAAACATCCAGTAAGTTAATTTCTTCTAATTTAGTTATTATCTGAAGTATTATGGAACTGAATTACAAAACTCAATAAAAGGATCTTGGGCCAAATGGATGCTTGTCCTGTGTGAGGAGACCTGAATTCTATCCCACGTCCTTCCCTAACCAGACGTGGGTGCATCCCCAATCCCCTTCAGGGTCTGCAAGTAGAAGATGAAAGTTTAGTCGACCTAAGAATCTCTATAGTCCATTCTTCTATATTTCATAGTTTTTGTGAAGCCCTAGACATCTGCATGGATTTATAAAATGTGATGCGTGGCTGATCTGCTGATTGCCTTCTCTCTTAAGCCAATATATTCTTTCACACCCTTTCTTGCTTTTTCTACCTCTCTGCCACCTCTTTTGTTGTGTATCCTTTCCTGCTTTTTAAAATATATATCTCTCTAGGTATTTGACTTGAATGTATCTGTGAGCCACACAATTGTGAAATAGTTTTGTTTCCTCTCGTTTTCATCATGGGTAAGCGCTAAAGTTGGAGCTTTTGGTAGATTGGGGGAGTGAACAACCAGCTTCTCTGTCTCCTTCCTTTTTAGTTTTAGTCTTCTTTCTTCCTTTATTTCTTTTTACATTTTCTCTTCCATTCTCCTGTCTTTTATTGTTTTTTTGATCCCCAATGTCCACTATTGTGTCCATAATTCTTCTTTCATCCCCAAATGTCCAGTGTAGCATCCCTGTTTGCCCCGGCTCCCTTAGATATCCCTTCCTGACACTGCAGGGCTTATTCTTATCTCTTGTTTCTCACATCTCTCTTTGCCTTGACCTTCATTATCCCAGGACTTCATTAAAGGGACTGCTTCGATCATGCAATAAACACAATGTGAGCCTTTGTTCATCTCCGACAATGGTTCAATGTGTTCGCTTCCCTGATAATAGAATTTTGCCTTCAACACTTATGGCAAAATGCATGAGGAATGCATAACTAATAGATGAAGATCTTAATGGTCTTTCATTTGCTTCTAAATTATTTCATAAAGATACCTGCTAATGTTCCTGTCTTTGAAGGTTTATATTTTTGGAGGGGAAATAATGTTGTATTATGTTCCATTGCATTTGTTTATTTATTTACTCACTTAAGGTATCTTTATGGAGCACCTGTTCCAGAGTTTATAGTTATTTTATCAGTTTCTTCCTTTTTTCTTAAAGCTCTCTTAAGTACTTTCAGTATGTCTCTGTGTATGACTCTGTTCCTCTCAGAAGCTGGCCTTGTTTTGCCCAGATTTCACCCATTTTTAACCCCTCTTGGCTAATGTGTGCATCCCTCATAGCAATGAATTAGCAGAGAAAAGGGTAGGATTAAGAAAAATTATTCAGGTTCTCATAGCTTTGAGATTGTTCTTTGTTCTTAGACCAATAGGTTAATAAATCGATATTGGACAAATAATGCACTAAAATCTTTTTAAGTGTGAATTCCCCTTTTAAAATTAATTTAATTCAATTACATATCTTTTAACTAAGTATTAGATTTTATTTTTATAGTCATTAGAAATTGCAATAAGGGTTTCTCTTTGTTTTATATTTTCTCTTACCCTAAGTAATATAGCCACAGACCCTTCTTGAGTTTTCTGTCCAAAGTGAAGCTGATGAACAAGGACAAAGTCCAGATTATTCGTAACACTTTCTGTTGTAGATGGTTAACTTAGGATACTCAAACCTGTTATAGTTTTGAAATATATATTTTGGGTTGATATAAGTTAGTCATATACAAAACTATATTAAATATTTTTTCACATAATTTATTTAAATTATAACCATTTTTTTGTTAAACGACCTAAATGTCGTTGGCATATCTAGCTACTTAGTTACTGTGTCTGAATTTTCAGTGTATGCATGGGAAAAATGGGAATCTTTAGCCATTCAAGAGAAAGGATAGTTTCCTTCTCCATCTATGGTCAGATTACACATGTCCAAACCTCTGCCGCAACCCGCGTGGCTAGAGAGAATAAGAGACCTGAGTAGGGGTGATGGGAGATTAAGAAAAAGAAAGACACAGAGACATTATACAAGTAAAGCTGGGACCAGCTGGGACACTGTTCTCAGATGGAGAGACAGCTACTCAGAGCTAGTGCAGCACATTTATTATATACAGCATGATACCACGAAGTTTTACTAGAGTTTAAGAAAAAGGAAATTATGTTAAATCATGCTTAAAGATTAAGCTGCATTCTTCATTTTTGTGGCTTCTCATAATTGTCAGACCTGGATGAATCTGGATAATAGCATCCACCCCTGGCAAGGTATGTTTCCAGGGAATGGCTGTGTGGACACAGCAGGATTCAGCTGACAACTTTTGCTCAGGTGCTCTCCCAGGCGTGCTCCTCACAAACCACCATGTGAAGCCTTACAGGAGAGCAGGGCCCAGGTGCAGGCTGAAGCACATGCTTTGGGTACTTGCTTAGTAGAAGATTGATCTGGGGTATGTTCCCCACACAGCCCTTCTCTAGCAGCACTGTCCTTTCAAAATGGTGTGACTTTTAAACTTAGATGGAAGTTACTAGTTTAAAGAAATGGAGGTGGTGAAAGTGTTTTGTTTTGTTTTTAAACATCTTTTATACCTTGAATGAATATACTTCTTTTTACTCTTTTGAACCAAATGAGGAGTATTAGGCTTCATATCTATTCAAAAAAAATCATTTATAAATACACCCTTAAATATAAGGTTTATATATCCACTGCCTTTTAAAAGGTTTACATTTTTTCAGCAGCTAATGAAGAGAAATATTTGGCTATCCAACCTGCTTTTATTTGAGTTTTATTAAATTATTTAACCAATGAAGATTCCTAAACAAAAGAGAATATAATATAGCACAGAAGGTATATAAAATGTATGAACTAAAAAAAGATATAAATGCTGATAATATTGAGTGATATTCTATTTTCCTGTGTCAGGAATCAAATTTACCTGGAATAGTGGATTCTCTCTTTTAAATTCCCTCAATGTATAATGGGGAAGATATTCTATGGTTTTCCTACTTGTTTGTTCTGATTACAACCCTTTAGTTCCATATACTTTTTCTCATAACCTATTGCTATGGTAATTTAATCTATTTAAAAAAAATTCTTCTCACATGTGAATAAGAAGACTGTCTAGCATCACTCTTGTAATAATTATATATTTAAATTCCATTAGGATAATCTTTATATTTTTCTTCTGTGTTTTTTTTTCCTCATGGGTCCAAAATTCTGTAACTTTCTAGACTCCTGTCCATTCCTTCCTATAAATCTTACCATAAAATATTTTTCTTATAACCTACATACAGATTCTAATGATTGACCAATCTAATCCAAGGGTAAAGGATAGTAATTTCATGGTCTCATAGGAAGAGTGAGACACTGGCATTAGGTCAAGATTTAAACTTGAGCTTGGCACACTCTCTTGTTGTGTGACCTTGAGAAAGTTCTTTTCCTGACCCTCCTGGTGACAGGGATTCCTGCTTCAGAGGGTTTCTGTGAGGATTAGAAAAAAAGTGTATGTAACACAATGCCTGGCTTATAGAAGGTTAGTTTTTCTTTCCATAAATGTTAGTTTACCTTTTTTCTGGTTCTTCTATGTCATGTTTTGAGAACAGAAAATTAAGGGTACCATTTAAATATTCTCATGATAGCCATTCTACATACATGACACGTGTTCTGCACCAAGTTCACCATTTAAATTGAAGAATTATGCTTTGCCATTTATCACCATGCTGATACCCTGTGGTCTAATTATTAGTTTATATGGTGGGAAATTCTATTAATTACTCCTCTTCTCCATCATTGATAGGTTCCATAAGGCGTTCATTCAGTTGCCCTCGGTCCATCTCTTCTCAATCACCTTGTAGTGCAGACATCCGCCCTCTTTCTGCTCAACAAATGATGTCGGCATCCCGGACAACTTCATCGTGTCGGTCACATTCCTTAAACCGTGCTTCCTCCTACATGAGGCATCTGCCTCATAGTAATGATGCCAACTCTAATTTTCAGGTGGTAAGTCGTCTACCTTGCTCCTTTTGAGATTACAGGAAGCATTGTTCTGAGATTTAGGTGGCAAAGGGATAAGTTGGGAGGAGGATAGATTGAACCTCATTATTCAGTTCATGGTATCATGGAGTTTGGATTGCTTAATCTCTCTTAGCCTATCACTAAGTATGAACTCTTATAAGGCAGACCAGAATATCACAGAACTTTAGAATGAACACTGTGAATAGCATTTTATTTTCCACTTGCTTATCTACTTATATAAAAACCCTGGGTGGTGTTCATCATGACCACCAGAACCACGACCAAATGGAAGGAAGTCAGTCTTGCAAGGGTTGTCTTGGCAACGGCTGTGCCCTCCCCTGAGCTGTTTCCCGGAGCTATTTCCTGTAAGGGCAGGGTTTGAGGCAGGAACCCGCCATGGGAGCATGGAGGCATATCTTTAGAAAGTGTGCTGCGCCAGCATGGCCAAGGGTGAACCTCAGTGGGGGCAGCTGAAAGGCTTAGAAAAGACAGACAAGAGAATGAAAGCCGGGTCTCTGTGGGATGCTGCTTCTCTGAGAGATAGCGACCATGCCCACAGCCATTGTGCTGCACCATGGCCAAGGGTGAACCTCAGTGGGGGCAGCTGAAAGGCTTAGAAAAGACAGACAAGAGAATGAAAGCCGGGTCTCTGTTGTGTGCTGCTTCTCTGAGAGATAGCGACCATGCCCACAGCCATGCCGTTATTTTATAGCAGATGCTACGAGGCAAAGTAAGGGCGTGACCAAGATGTTTACAACATTCTCCTGGGTTTCAATCCTACTAAACTACATGCACCTGAACTCTATCAAGCCTACATCACTCAGGCATGTGGGGCCACATGTTCAGAACATAGGTTCAAGCTTACAACTACAGCTGTTGGCTATAATTGCGCTGGGAAGGCCCTGCCCTCCGAGCTGGGACTTGCACGTGGCAATGAGAGGACTGTGCCCTCTCATCAGTCCAAGGCTTGAACCTGTCCAAAACACTGTAGCGGCTCCCCACAATAAAGTTTTAATTCTGTTTCTTTGTTACTAATGTTGTGGCCCCA